AGGGACTTAGGGGGGGGCGGAGGTGTGTCGTGTGTGTGTGTGTGTGTGTGGTGTCCCCATCCCCTCGTACCTTGCCGGGTGGAGACATTCCTGTCGTTGCCGGCTCGGAGCACGACCTGCGGGCAGCTCTGCTCCAGGGCGAAGAGCTCGTCCTTGCCCACCTTGGCGCTCTTGCCCGCCTTGAGGGTCCCGCTGGGTCCCGAAGGGGCGAGGTAACGACCCTCCCCGTCGCGAAAGGCCACCTTCCCGCAACGAAACTCGAGGGTGAAGGCGGTACCGGGCTCGGCGGCGGGGACCAGGCGGCCGTCGGAGCGCAGGAGGCGGTGGTCGCAGCTCTGCAGGCTGTAACGCTGCTCCACGAAGAGGAGGGTGATGAGGGCGTCCACCCCCCAGGGCACGTCGCGGTCCACGGCCAGCTCGTCCCGGCGGGGTCCCAGGTGGGCGTAGCGTTTGCGGGCCAGGCTGTAGAGGTTGGCCTGGGGATGCATGGCCAGGTGGACGCTCCACTTCTCGGCGGCCGAGACGGCGGGGGCGAAGCAGGAGAGACGGTCCTCGGTGCCGCCGAAGAAGCGGCGGTGGGGCTCGGACTGCAGCGACCAGCGCCCGTCGCCGTGAGCCACCACCAAGAAGCGACAATCGGGACCGGGCTCTTCGCTGTCGCAGCTCACCCGCCCGTCTTTGTCGGCCGCCAGGTACCGGCCCAGGTGGCTTTTGAGCAACACGGCGCTGGAATCCTCCCCGTCCTGCTCCAGCGTCCAGATCTGCTTCTTCTTCATGCTGGCGGCCGAGGCATTCACCTTGAACCCGAAAGCCTCCGCCGTCAGGTATTTGTTGCTGCAATTGATGAGCCCGAATTGGATCTGCACCGGCTCCGCCGTCCCGTTCGCCGTCATCCTGCCGCCGCCGCCACCGACCGCCGCTGCCGCCGCGACCGCCCCGACGCCGCCTTTATACCGCCGCTGCCGCCGCGGCGCCGCCCCTACAGCCCCCCCCAACCTCCCCCAGCCT